CTTGTTTTTGTATGTCCTTCCCTCCCCCTTTTTTTACTGTAAGCCACCCTGAGTCTCTTTGTGAGTGGGCGGCATACAAATTAAATCAATCAATCAATCAAATCAATCAATTAAAGTCAGATTGATAGCCTATGAATTTTAAAGAATAGCAATAGAATAAGCATAAACCCAATGAACCAATTTCTGAATGTGAAAAAATTAACAATAGGTTGGCTTCTTACAATATCAACCTTCAAAATCATCTCATTTCCATCCATCTTCCCAAAAAGTAGTTCCGTACAAGCTGTCTAGAATTTGTTCCTTTATTGCAAATATCAACGGTTCACATGTATCATTGAAGAAGACTTTTTAGGAACCTTTATACTATGATACATAAAAGAATCAAAACACAACCTAAAAATCTGTAACTAAGACTCAATGCTACCAAGTCTGATTTAATCAAATTATGAATGAATTAGAAAAGAGGATAGAGATTTGGACATAGTTATGAAACACAAATCATTATGTACACTACATTAATGGCTTGGTTTTATCATTAATATTTTTAAAATTTCTAAATAATAAACACAAAAGCTTTAAAGACAATACTGTATTTTTTTAAAAAGAAAGCATCTTTAACATTTACTATAAAATAAAAATTAAAAAAAATATTTTTGCTAATCACTAATGATCTAAGGGCTGAATAAATCATATGTCCAAGAAATCAAATTAAAACCTTTCCCAACATCTAAACAAATAACCTAGATCCAAACTACAATGAAATAATTCTATGATATCATTTAACGATTGAATGGTATAAGCTTTCTAGTGGATAAGCTGAATTTTCTAAGGAAATTGAGCTGTAACTTGAATATTATTATATACCGTATTTTCCAAACTATAAAATGCACCAGAGTATAAGACACACCTAGATTTCGAAGAGGAAAACAAGAAAAAAAATAGTTTTTGGCCTCTATGGGTCCGGTTTTTGCCCTCCCTGGTCCTCAGGAGTACTCTGCAGGCCTCCCGAACCCTTGGCGTGTCCTCCTGAACCCTCCATGCCTCCCATTTTTGCCCTCCCCATCTGCAGGCCTCCCAAACCCTTGGCGCATCCTGTTTTTGCCAAAAACGGGTCAGTTTTTGGTCTCCCGAACCCTCCCACGTGTCCTGTTTTTGCCCTCCTCAGCCGGTAGGAGCACTCAGCAGGTCTCCCAAACCCTTCATTCGTCCCGTTTTCGCCAAATTTTATTTATTTTTTTCTTGAAAAGGAAAAGGTAATATGAAGTTTTAACCTGGTTCCAATCTTGCAATCAAAAGAAAAAGTTGACAAAAATTGGGACTATAGAACCCTTTTGGTTACTAGATTTTAAAGGTATTTATTTATGCTAAGAGAACTAATACTGCTGTCTTAATTAAAATCTAAAAGTGAATTATTCATTGGATTTCTTACCTTTCCTTCAAAATAAGGTTTACATATGATGCTTATAAAGTTGTTATTCAGCAAAAAAAAAAAAAAGAAGAGATCTGTATCATACAGAAAATGATTACCTAGCATAGACACATAACAATTTAACTTAACTACCTGTTGCTTCTTTCTGTATGCAGCATAAAGAATATGACCTCAGTAAATGCTTCTGCTGTATCTCATAGGAAATTGTGTAATTGAATCACGGATGAAATAAAATAAATGTTCCTCCACACCCTTTCATTCCATGTTGCACAAAGGCACGTCCCAAAAAAATTACCATCAATATCAAAAACACAATAAAAGAGGAAAGCATGACCAAAACCATATATATATATATATATATNGCACTGGAATTACATTTAAAACAGTTAAAAATTGACAAAATCACCATCAGTCAAATGCAAAAAGCCGCACTGCTTGGATCTGCACGCATATTACGTAAATACATTACGACGTCCTAGGCCCCTGGGTGGAGCCCGACTAGTAATCAATGCCAAATCTGGTGAAACAACTGGCCGCTGTGATACAATTGTGTAATAATAATGTTTTTCTAGTTCCATTATAGTAGGTACTCACAAATTAGCTCTTCTCTCTTTAAAGAAAATTCTGATGAACAAGATAATTTTTTAAGATATTCTGAACTCAAATACAATGCACTCTTTTGCAGAAAATGTACTTCCATGTAATTTACTTAATTAAATCTAACTTTCCATATGTAAATTGGATAGCAGAATCAAAAGGGTTAACATTAATTCTGAAAGGAGAACAGTTGAACTGGCCACTTTATTAAACCAATATTAACAATAGCAATAATATGGTACTACATAGCAAAAATAATAATATCAAATCCGTACTGTAATTTAACACAAATAAAAAAAATACACACGATCATATAAACAAATCAGATATAATATGAAAGAAGGCCGGAAGTACAGCTGGCCAGTAAAACAGACAGCTAGGAAAGATAGCCTGGGGAAAAACCTCTAGAAAATGTGGTCAAAATTGTGAAATATCCCCTTTCTTGTCCCTCTCTGACAAATAAAGAAACTAATTCAAATGCTGATGAGTAGCACTTATCAACAGTTCCTTGCTGGAAATCTCTGTAAGTGCTCTCTCTAATTTTGTACAATAATTAATTTGTCTACTCCTTGTACTTAAGTGGGTCATAATTTTTGCTTTGATAAAGTCAAGATATTGGGGATATAGCAAGAAGAATATATGCACTGCTCACTTAAAGCATCAGCCCTACATGGTATCGGACCTGGCTACTTGAGAGACCGCCTCCTGCCAATTACCTCCCTGAGACCTATAAGATTGCACAGATTAGGCCTCCTCCGGATTCCATCTGCCGTTTCAGCTGGCGACTCCCCGGGGGAGGGCCTTCTCTGTTGCTGCTCCGGCCCTATGCAACGATCTCCCCGTGGAGATCCGGACCCTTACTATCCTTCCGGCCTTCCGCAAAGTGACCAAGACCTGGCTATTCCGGCAGGCCTGGAGCTGTTGAAGTTGTCCAGCCCCACCCTCAGTTGTGAATGTTGTGATCTTTTAATGTTGTCTTGTTTTTGTATNGTTTATTTATTTTGCTTTCATTGAGAATAGAGAGTGGCATGGCATGGCGTGACGTAGAACAGAACAGGAGAATAGAA